AACGACGTAGATATCCTTTGAAACGCATTTACATGAAAAGAAATCGCCGCAGTAAAATAAACAACAATTAAATGGATTTATTACTCTACGACGTTAGAATGATTGAAAACACTTTTCGAAAGATACGAACTAAAAAACAGAAAACATTCTTCGTTTTATTAAGACGATTTCATATACGAGGCGACTTTAAATATACTTCAAAGAATCAATCAAATTTAAAATGCTACACTATATCACTATTAAAAGCAGGTATCCCAGGAGATGAGTACTCGCATATTATGAGTTTCAGACGTAAAGTCTATGTCATTCCAGCCACTGAAAACTACGAGCTTCAAACGTCACTTTTAATACAGTATGAGAATATCGCATATAGAATCATATTCATATAGAATCCGAATGACTATTCATTAACAGCTGATCAGATTATTGCATTCCTCGAGAACTCATTTGGCAACGGCAACCCAATAATCGAAGCTCTGCAAATTACTACAGATATACAGGTCCTGTTGGACGATATGTATAAGATATATCCTTCTCTAACAGAAAGATCTGTTAAGGGTAGAGTTACTAGAACAACGAAAAAATTAAAGAAATATTTAACCACAGATAATAGCAACGCTGAAGTATCACAATCATCAACTGACGACGATTATCTCTCAGATACATCACAAAAGTCCCAAAAATCTACCTTTTAATTAATTAGTTACTTTTCAAATTAATTCAATGGAATTGTGACGGATTCTATCCGAGATATGAAAGAATCCAACAATTGATCGCAGAAACAGAAGCAGATTTTATATGTTTACAAGAGACAAACTTTAAAGATACCAAAATTGGACAACTTAAAAATTACGAAGGTTACCATTGTCTACGAAAGGACTTCCTGAGAGCCAGTGGCGGCACCTCAATTTTTGTTTCCAGAGATCTGTTTTCTACACATCACATACTCACTACTGGCATTGAAGCAATCGCAGTCTCCATCTGGTGTCCCAGCAAAATTACGGTATGTAGCATTTACGTACCACCTAATTACAAACTTTCAGAAGAGGAACTGTATGATCTAATTCATCAACTCCCCACTCCTTATCTTCTTGTAGGTGATTTCAATGCACATAATATTATGTGGGGCTCTGATAAAACATTTGGAAGGGGAAAAGTCATTGAAAATGTATTAAATTGTTCTAGCACTTGCCTATTAAATACCGGATCAAGTACATACTGCAATATATCTTCTGGCACATTTTCAGCAATTGATTTGAGCTTTTCTGATCCAAAGTCATCATCTCTATTAAACTGGCATGTCCTCGACAGTCTCTTTGATAGCAATCACTTTCCAATTCTGATTTCAAATAGCGAGAATAAATCTAGCAATTATAATGTACCCAAATGGCGAATCGCCAATGCAGATTGGATTGGCTTCTGCTCGTATCTCGAAAAACAACTTCCACTTCTGTCTCTTTCCGATGACGTAGACGAATCTCTGAACCTTCTTATCCACTGCATTATCTCTGCAGCTGAACTACATATTGGCAAAACTTCTACGACCTATACACGGAAGAAAGTACCATGGTGGAATAAGGACTGTGAATATGCAGTTCGTCAATGCAAAAAAGCATTAAACAGATATCGAAGAACTCGAAATGATGAAGATTTTGTGCAATTTAAAAAACTAAAGGCCAGAGCAAAATACGTGCTAAAAGAAAGCAAGAAAATTTCATGGAGAGAATATACTTCATCACTAAAAACCAACACACCTTCTGCCCAAGTATGGACGAAAATACGACAAATGCAGGGCCGTAAGACAAGTTTTGGTATTCAAAATATAAGTTATCAAAACACCGTTATCAATGACACACAACGCATTGCCAATTTACTAGCTGATACGTTTGAACAAAAATCCAAAAGACAATACTCATCTAACATATCATCAGGCACATTAATTGGAGAGGCCTCCACAATAGAAACTGTACAAGAAATCGATCCTATTAACACACCATTTACCTTAGAGGAACTAATGATGGCACTCGATTTGTGTAAAAACACAGCCTCTGGTCCAGATGACATTCCTTTCATATTCTTAAAGAAATTATCGACACCTTGCATCATTATTTTATTAAAATTTTACAACTGTATTTGGAAAAGTTATAATTTTCCTAAGCGATGGCGAGAATCATATATTATACCAATTAAAAAAGTTCACAACCAAACACAAAGTTTATCTAATTCATATAGGCCCATATCGCTGACATGCACCATGTGCAAATTAATGGAGAAAATGGTAAACAAAAGATTGGTCTGGTTTTTAGAAAAAAATAGAATTATTTCACCTGCACAATCTGGTTTTAGATCTCATCGTTCTACATCAGACAATTTGGTAATTTTACAATCACATATTTCCGACTCTATGGCCTGTAAACAAGATTTATTAGCAGCCTTTTTTGATGTAGAACGAGCCTTTGACACTGTTCAAAAATCTGTAATCCTCCAAAATCTTCAACAATGTGGACTGGGTGGGAATACTATTTTGTGCAGAATTTTTTAGATGATAGAACTTTTAAAGTTATTGTTAACGGAAAGCTGTCATCTACTCGTATTCAACATAACGGAGTACCACAAGGTTCTGTTATAAGCACAACTCTATTTAGTTTGGCATTTAATGATGTAGGCAAAAGTGTTCATCTTCCAGTTAAATACGCATTATACGCTGATGACCTTATACTCTTTTGCAGAGGAAAGAATACCGAAACAACCTGTCGACTAATGCAAACAGCTATTGATAATATAGAAAGGTGGTCGAGGCATATTGGGCTTTCTTTCTCATCTCAAAAAACTAAAATCATGAAATTTAGCAGAAAAACGACAAAAGATAATCCAATTTTGACATACAACGGAGTATTACTAGATGTTATTGATCATCATAAAGTCTTAGGACTGACCTTTGACTCCAGACTTACTTGGAATACACACATACAGGAAACGAAAGCCAACTGCTTAAAAAATATTAATATCCTAAAAAGTTTAGCACATTTTCAATGGGGAGCCGACGAAGAGGTATTGCTCACAGTTTACAGATCCATTATTCGCTCCAAAATAGACTATGGTAGTTTTGTCTATATGTCTGCCTCCAAGTCACATCTGAAAGCTCTTGACTCCGTACACAATACGGGTCTTAGGATCTGCTTAGGTGCCTTCAGATCTAGCCCAGCTCAAAGTATGTACTGTGAAGCTAACGAACCACCACTCTGGTTAAGGAGACAACATCTTCTTTTGTCATATGCAGCTAGCTTATCAGCCAATCCACAAAATCCAGTCTATCAACTACTTATACAACCAAATAATCTCATTCATCATTCTCAGACCACTAGAGCTGCACAACCCCTCTCTTACATACTAAATTCTATTCTCGACGGTTTTGATCTTTCTGCAACTTCACCCTTTCATATCTCTACACACCCTCCGTGGCATAAGCAACTTCCGAATGTCAACACCTCTCTTTACTCTTTCAATAAACATGATACTCCTAAAGCTATAATTAAACAATTGTTCCTAGACATACTTAATCGAAATCAGTTTCATAAAGTTCTTTATACAGATGCCTCTAAAAATGATGTAGGGGTGGGTAGTGCTGTTGTTTCCTCTTTTAGCACTACAAAACTAATCAAACTTCCTGCCGTTTGTAGTATATACACTGCAGAACTATACGGTATCGTCGAGGCTTTTCGTATGTTGGAACCAACTGACCGCAATGTAGCGATTTGCACAGACTCCTTATCATCAATACAAGTAATTAAAAACATGTTCTCAGATCATCCTCTGGTAAATTTAATACATGACATATACAATAATCTTGATCATGGAGTAATTGTCCAGTAGTAATCCAAAGTTTCTACTTTGGATATACCTATATCAAATATCCAGTTCCATAATGATATTAAAAAAATGTTTAAAAAGCGTATATATGACAAATGGCAAGCTAATTGGAACACAACTTCGAGTCATTTACACGATATACAAACAGTTATACCTTCCTTAGAGCTACCATCTATGCCCAGAAGACACAAAGTTATTCTAAGAAGATTAAGACTTGGACACACTCGTCTTACACATGGCTTTCTAATGGCATCTACCGATCCACCTGCATGCGGCCATTGCAGCAGTCCCTTAACAGTCAGACATTTCCTTAAAGAATGTCCGCTTCTTTCTGCTAAAAGAAAACAATACCAATTGGGAGATAATATTAAAGAAATATTGAGTGAAACTCAGAAATTTGAAAACTTGTTTAAATATTTAAAAGACATTCAAGTGCTTAGTAAACTCTAAATTGTAATAATTATGTGTAACGGTTAAATTTGTAATTTATGTGTCTTTTTGTACTATGTATTGTCAAATGTAAAACTGTATATACCTTATATTGTATTATACTGTCATCGTGTCAATGACCTCGTAGTCCAGACACGTTAATTAAAATAAAAAAAATAAAAAAAAAAAAAAACATTTTGATTTATAATGTCTATTATGTATTGGACAGATTAGACCAACATTTTATTTACATGAAGTTGCATGTTGATTCGTATTTGCTCATTAGTTATGTGAAATTTATGTTAGCACATTCTAAATTTGAGGAGCTCTGTATTATTTTGGTGCTCATTCGATGTTATACTAATTTTGGTTAATTTAATTACTTTTCTTATTTTTTGCTAATTGTTTATAGGTTTTTTTTTTAAATAAATAGTCCAAATTCTAATTACTTTACAATAATCTGTTATAATTTCATCATTATTATCTTGTATGGTATTTATACTTGCCTAAAAGCGTTGTTTTTTCTCTTGCTCTGCTATACATTTTACTGGTTTTGTACTATCCGAATATCTCATTGGTGTTTACGTGGATAGTTTCTCTTGTAACACTTTGGAAGTTTGCTCAAGCTATTGCGATTATACTTGTCACTACTTTCCTCACTTCAATTATTTTTTTGTGTTTATGGTTTAAACTTTTTATAGATGCTTTGGACATTCACTTCAACATCAAAATAACTAGCGGAGATATTCATCCAGAGAAAGACAAAACCGATAAAAAACCAACTGAAAAATTGAAGGATACTGGTACAAAAAACATCGATTTCCAAAACAACTTTTCCGATCCAGATGATGGCGTGTACGTCATTAATTCTTCTACGCATGTAAATGGGTCTTTGAAGCTACCTATGGCGATCGAAGACAAAGGAATAGATCATTTTAAAAAGGAAGAGAGTGTTCTTAGTAACCATGAACGTAGTCATTCGTTATGGAGATGGCCAGGAGAAAGCGGAAAATTGGCGCAGGTAAATATTAAAGTAAAGTAGTAAAGTTTTTTTATTAAGTACTTTTCATAGATGCACTTAAATTTTTTTTACGGTAAATATGTGTTGGACACAGACCTGCTGGGTGTTAGTTTAAATACTTATACATTATTTATTTGTGATGAACATATAAAAATGTCTAAGTAGGTACCCTAGACGTGTCCTGACATGCTCTAACTATGTCATCTTTCTGATTTTCATGATACGCATAATTTCCATTCCTTTATTCATACGTTGGACCACGGTCTTGTTTGTAACATGATGGATAATATAGGAAATTCTGAGCATACGGCGGTAGCACCACATTTTGAAGTCTTCTAATCGTTTGGATGTTGCCTCCGTCAAGGTACAGGCTTCAAATTTATATAAAATGGTAAAAAATACATAGCATCTCAAGACTCGTGTTCTTATATCTATGTTCAGGTGCATATTACGTAAAATATTCCTGAAGCGATTGAAAACAGCTCTCGCCTTTTCTATAGGACATCTTATTTCCTGTGAGTGGTCCCATTCCTTATTTAGGCTGCATCCAAGATATATACTACAAGAATTTTAGTCTTATTACAGTTTAATTTCATACCGTATCTATAACAGGCTTCCACTACACGGTTTATTAATGTTTGCAGATGCTCCGCATATCCGTCAAATACTTTTTCAAAGTCTATAAAGCATGCGTAGACTTCACAATTTACTTCTCGAGCTCTATGTATTATTACTTGTATGGAAAATAGGGCCTCTTGCGTCCGTCCGCTTCTAAACCCAAAATATGCGAGAGTAAATAACAGAAAGAAGGATTTTGAGTGCGTTGCTCATTAAGCTAATAATAATAAGAGCATCTGGTAGCATTTGCCTTCTTGGGGAGAGGGATGAAGGTGGAAGCTATCCAATCTGTAGGAAATTCTACAGTTTCATAGATTTTGTTGGTATACTCGCTAGGAGTTTGAATTGGTTGTCTTCAAATGGTTTAAATATTTCAACTTATATGTTAGCAGGTCCAGGTGCTTTGTTGGTTTTTAGTATTGCATATATGTTACTTCACTGAGCGTTATTTCTGGTCCTGAACATCCAGAAAGACTAACTTATGTCTCTTGTTTTTCCTTGAATAATTCTTCCATGTAATGCCTCCATCTCTTAACTCGGCGACGGTATTGTGGGGTATCACATACCCCACGAGAATTTAAAACGCCCGCGTTTGCGCAACTTCAAACATCAAACAGTTAAACCCCGCCTACCTTCGAGTTAGGTTATATACTGTCTTCAGCAGTTTGTTCGCGACCGTCGAGTGAAGCAGTAGTAAAATATTTTCGTGTAAACAGCGTTGGGGTGTTGTATACCCCACCATACCGGTAGTGTTATATATTTTTAAGGTAATATATTGAAATTTATTGTATATTTGCAGGGTTTTAGTGATATTTTATTACAGAATGTCTTATGAACAAGAACAAAGAAGGCTCCTGCAATTGTGGGAAGAATCGCAAGATGAACACGCTATTGGTTCAGAATCTGAGGGAGAACTTCCCGATCATATCAGCGAAAATTCAATGTCAGAATCAGATTCTGAAATTGTGGATCCAGAAGTGCCTGAAGCAATGACAGAAAACATATCCACCAACTCAGCAATAGACGATGAATCCTTAAATACAAGAGAATATTTTATAGGACGTGATGGAAAAACTAAGTGGTCAAAATCTTGTGGTAACCTCAAAGTACGCACACGACGCGAGAATATCATAAGCCATCTTCCGGGACCAAAGGGCGTTGCTTGAAATGCGCAAACTCCTCTTGAGTGTTTTAATTTATTTTTGAACGATATGATGTTGGCAGATATTGTAAAGTATACGAATCTGAATATGGGTCAGAAAGCAACAGCTTATAACAAGAATATGCAATACCTCGTAAAACCAACAACAATACACGAAATGAAGGCGGTGCTTGGACTCCTGTATTTGGCTGGTGTATTTCGTGCCAATAGGATGAATTTAAAAGATTTATGGAGTACTGATGGCTTAGGCGTGGATATTTTTAGAACAACCATGTCACTGAAATGTTTTATGTTCGTTATATCTTCCATGCGATTTGATAATAAAGAGTCCAGAAATGAAAGACGCCAGTTAGATAAATTTGCCTCTTTTCGAGTAATGTTTGATCTTTTTACCGAAAATTGCAAAGCTTACTACATTCCTGGAGAATACGTCACTATAGACGAAAAACTGGAGTCCTTTCGCGGGCGATGCCCGTTCAAGCAATACATGCCAAATAAACCGGCAAAATACGGCTTGAAAATTGTTGCCGTTGTAGATGCGAGAAGATTTTACCTGTTTAATATGAAGGCGTACTTCGGAAAAGAACCTGAAGGTCCGTTTCAAATAAGTAACAAACCAGAAGACATTGTTGTTAGATTAATAGCACCCATAAGTGGCACTGCCAGAAACGTTACTTTTGACAATTGGTTTGCCAGTTGTCCTCTGCTATACACATACCTAAAAGAGCATCGATTGACAGCTGTTTGCACCTGACGTAAAATAAAAGGGAGCTTTCTCCTGGCTTTATTCAGACAAAGAAGAGACCTGAACGGAGTTCACTTTTCGGTTTTACGCATGATGTAACATTGCTGTCATACATCCCTCGGAGAGGAAAGAATGTTTTACTTCTTTCTTCCCTCCATCATGATGACAAAATAGATCCAGCCACTGGCGAAGCTGAAAAACCAGAGATGATTAGTTTTTACAACTTCACTAAAGGAGAAGTAGACGTGGTGGACAAGCTTAGTGGTACCTATAGTGTGAGTAGAAATACTAGGAGATGGCCGCTAGCCATGTTTTATTCATTACTGAATTTCGCTGGAATTAACGCTATGGTAATTTTTATTGCAAACAATCCTGTGGATAAACGGATGAAGCGACGTTTTTTTCTTGAAAGAGTTGGGACTATCTTTGATTACAGACCACCTTCATGAGAGAAAAGAAAATTCAAAATTACTCAGAGTGTTGAGAAAGAAAATAATAACATCATCAAAGAAGCGCAAGAACGAAGATGAACATCAGCCATCAACGTCCAAAAAAATAAAAGAAATGGAAAGATGTTGTATCTGTCCACGGTCAAAAGATAAAAAATCTCATCTAACTTGTTCTGCTTGTGAGCAGTGGGTTTGCATGGAACATTCAGAGCAAATATGTATGAAATGTAAAAGCTTTTATATACGTTTAGTGTCCAAGTTAAGATTACTCTAGGATTATCGGTAAATTTTTATCATATTCTGATATGTTTTGTAATACTTAATCTCCTTTCATGCTCAACTTTGTTTTAATAATATAAATAATACATTGATTCAGGTAATTTTGTAGTATATAAAAGAATATAATAAATATTCAAACGGGGTATCTCATACCTCACCATACCATACATGTTGTAATTTTCGACCATACTGGCGCCGGGTTAAGTATTCTCTCGTTTTCGTAGAGCAAATTATTGTGCTTGTTTAGTATTAAGTTAGAACTTCGTTATCCGTTTCCTCCCGTTAAGTTTTTAATCTTTGTATGTACGTTAAAAGTGTCTTGCTTCTGTTCTAGGGATTCTATTGCTATTCATTGATCTTGTAGCCATGATTCTTGTGCTTCTTTCATCTTTTTTTAATGACTTTGTTTATTTCTTTGTACCTTTTCTCATTTTTATTTCTGTTGTTTCTTTCTTTTTCTATTAGTTCTTATATTTCTCGTCTCATCTACGGCTGGTGCATTATATTATTTCCTGGTTTAAGTTTATTATCTACCACTGAATTACTGATATTTTTGAGTTTATTCCATATATCATCCACACTTATGTTTTCTTAATTAATATCTGAGATTACCATGCTGTTTATTTTGTTGTTGATCTCGTCTTTGACTTCGTCTCTTTTGATTTTATCTTTCTACTTCTGAATGTCCGGACGTTTTTTTGCTTTTTTTATGTACTTTTTTCATGTGGGGTTTAAATGTCCTAGTAAGAGATTATGGCCTGATGGCTCCCGGATATGTTTTTGCAGATTTTACGGAATTCTGAATCGTTTATTGGAAATCGTATTGGATAATCGTAATTGGAAAAAGGTGTTTATTATTGCACTATCCGTTTCCGGGCAGAACTAAACAAGGCGGTCTCCTCTATCATTTCGCGTTTCTAGTCCAAAGTGTCCCACAGTCAACACCTAATTTGCCTACTTTGGTGTTGAAATCTCCTAGCAGGATATTCGCTTCTTGTTTTTTGGTATGTTTTAAGAATTCTTTCAATTGTTCATAGAATATCATTATTTCCTGCTCTTAGCTTTCCGAAGTTGCAGCATATGCTTGAATAATGTTTATGTTAAATAGTTTAGCAATAACTTTGAGTACTGCAACTCTACCTGATATTCCTATAAAACTCAGTACACATTTGGTACCTTCTTTATTTACTATAAAAGTCACTCCGGTTTTGTTTCTTGTTGTAGTATCTCCACAGTAGTATATTGTGTGGTTTTTTTGGTGGTATTGTGTGTGCTATTTCGCACTGTCCTAAATTGGGCCATCTAAATTCACTGCATACAAGTATGTCAATGTTGAGTCTTCTCGTTTCTTTAATTACGTTATTCACTTTTCCGACCTGGAATAAACATCGTACATATCATGTACCAATCTTCTTATCATGCTTAAATCTAAATCAAAATAATTAAATCCCTCCATAATAGTAAAACGCTAAAAACGACACTGCACACACATTTAAATATTTTTTGTTCAAACAGTATACAAATATAATTATATTATTCAAAGTATACAAAAACATATCCTTATATAATAATTTAGATAGAATATTTTCTTTATCAGAATGATTTATTTTTTTGTTTACATTCATAAAGTCTACATAAATTACTATTGGATATTCAGTCTCCCCAAACGTATAAGGGACTATCATTAGATGCTGGTTATGACGGCGGGATTATCCAGGAAATCTCCTATTTTTAGATGCGTGTAGGA